CGTATCAGGAATGATACTTTCTCTAAGTCCTTGTAATATTTCTATAGCTAAACCAACGTCATATTCTTCACCTTCAAAATAAAAAGGAGGTGACCACTTGATATTTCCCATAGCAACACGCCAATACTGTAAACATCACTTTTTTCATTTAATGTGTATGGTTGTGATATATTGTCATTTTTTCTCCGTTTATCAAATCTCTTTTGATCAATGTAAGGAATTACACCAAATACTTTTGACTGACTACTTATTGCTTCAATTCTTTTTGATAAACCAAAGTCTGCAAGTTTAATAACACCTTGATGAATTTATATATTTCCGGAATGCTATTATAAATATATATATAATAAAATTAAATATAATCTTAAACAGTCAAATTCATAATAAACAAAATAATATATTTATCAAAAATATTACCAAATCACGATGTACAATTCCTTCGCCATGTAAACACGATACAGCACAAGCCAACTGGAATGCCATTTTGTATTTATCATCCCAATCAAGTTTATCAAAATTATCCTTTAAATAGTTTTTGAGTGCGCCGCCATCAGCATATTCCATTACTAACCAATGTTTTTTCAATTGATCATATTGGTTTTCTAATTTTTTTATATATTTTAATAATATATATAAATGAGTTAAAAATACAATGTAAAAGACAATATATATATCTGTAATTGAGCTAATTATTTAAAGATTTTATACCTTGATTTGATGATGTTGTAATCCCAAAAAATCGGATGATATTACAATGAAAATCAACTTCCCGTTGAAGTTCAAGCTAAATTGTTACGAATATAAAATTTTTAGTTTGTCTTATAAATGATTTATACTAAATAGATTGAAATACAATATTGCATTTTGTAATTACCTCACGAGCTATTTCTTTAAAAGTGGCGTTGTCAAAGTTATGAAACGATTTTAGCGCGAGAGGTTGTTTTAAATTTTTCCAATTTGCACGATAGACTTTTCCAAAGCCGATCACTTCAAAATTACTAAAATGTTTATATTCATAGTGCTTGATATTTTTGCTTAAAATATATTCTTCAATCCACTTATTTGAATTATTGGCAGTTTGCATGATGACTTTTTATTAATTGAATATTTAGCAAGCGAAGTGCGATAAAATTTTTTGAAAAAAAAAATGCATTCGGTAGGTCATTTCATGTAACTTTCTAAGCCACAGGTCATATGAATGATCTGTGTAACTGTAAAAAATTTTATTATGCAGAATATCATCAAAATATTTTTTTAAATCATAAAAAAAAGAGAAAGGTAGATAAATTTTAATGAAGCATTAAATCTACCTTTTTTTAGAAAATAATGCTTTTAAATTGATAACATGTAATGCAAAAATACAAATATATATATATTTTTTTTTTCACAGAAAACTTTTTCATTGAACTTTAAATTAAATTAATTACGTCGCTAATCATAAATATGTTAGATTTCATTACTATTTAAATAAAAATTTAAAATGTTACAGAAGGTCACGCATATAATTTATATCATTTAATAGCACCTGATCATTCGGGTCAACCTCGATGGGTTTTAAGAAGTTAGGCCTGACTCGAATTTTTTCAATATTTAATATAATGTATAAAAATATTCTTTATGTAAAAATTTCTTTTTATTTAAAAGTATGAAAAACTAATATTCTTAATATTTTTTCAAAAGAGCGAAAAAAAAAATAATAAAATATTTTCCAAGATAAATAATGTTAAAATAAATCTTGCATTTTTTTAGCCAATCATATTTAAAATAAAAGGGTACATTACACTTTGTGTCACGTTCTTTTTTATCCAGTCATTCGGTAAAATATAATGTTAATGTAAGAATTTTATTATTATGAATCAAAGAACGAAAAATTAATCTAATTTCTTATTTCTGAATCAAGAAAATATGCTTTAATTTCGTGACTGGAGAATTATGTAAGATTTTATTTAGATAACGAAAGGAAAAAAAATATTCGTTTGCTATAATCCCATGTTTTATTATTACGATTAATAAACAATATTTACTTTTTCAGTTGGAAAACACATTGTGTTTAATCTTAACCTTTTAAAATCCTTGAATTAAGCCGCTTGTTAATAGAGACATGGTCTTTTAGTCGATGTTATATCATAAAATTAAAAATAAAATAAAAGTTCTGCTTGGAAGAAGAAAATAATTTTGACAAAGTGTTGATGGGTTAATTTTAATTATGTTACCATTTATTTTCGTGTGCATACTAAATACATGTTGATAGTACATAAATAATTAATTTATGGAACTGATTCTAAATTTTAATTTATAATCGTCCAAAAATTCAAAAGTATAAGGATGACTACTAAACCCTCATTCTTCTATATAACTATATTTATTACATTATCATTTGAGCTCTTGTGCTTTCTCATATGCACAAGTGAGAGTATAACGAATGCAACTATAATTATCATAATACCCACAATAATACTTATAGAAACAACAATACAAACAGTAGATGACATTCCAATACTGAATCCATCATTCTGAATTGATGGATAATCAGAATTTTGAGAACGTGGATAATATTTCGTTACCCACTCGAAGCTCGTTGTATCCAAAACGTTTATATCTGAGGCTGGACTTGATGGAGTTGATGTTTCTGACGTCAAGTTTCCTATAAAATTAGAAGTATATATCTTAGTAATGCGTATTAAAATTAAGTTATTTATTGTGACAAATTTGTTACCGAATGCTATTAGCATGTATTTGCCAACTGAAATGGCTGAATGGGATGCTCTCGAAGGTGGTTTATTTTCTTCACCAACTTCCGGGATTATCCATTGAAGAGGATACACCGTTGTATCCAATACGACGATATCTGGCGACGCGGCATGTTTTGCAGTAGTAATTCCACCATATACAATTATTCTACTGTCAAATGCTATAAAATGTACGTAACAACAACTTTAGTTAAGATATTAAATAAATTGATTTTCGAGTACATACTTAACACGGACGTGTGGTAGTATCTCCCGACGATTCTTTCTCCTTGGGCCGTCTATAAAGAAATGGGTCATTAGTATACGTGATTCCATGGCGTAAGATAATGACGTGATTTAAAATGCCTTTTTACCTCAAGAACCCATTTTTGCGTAGATGTTTCAAATATCCAAATCTAAATGAAGCAATATAAAAATTTAATTATACGCATCTCACGTGACATTAAAATTTGCTTATTTGCTCACATGATTCATTTCGACCAGAGTTAAGTTACCAGAGTTACCAAGATCATCGAGAAATCCACCAATGTAAATAATAATTCCATTAGGAAGAAGTGTTGCGGTATAACCTACTCTAGTATGAAGGAATTCTCCGCCATTATAAATATTCCAAATCATATTTTTGCTATCAAATATAATTAAATCGCCGAATTTAACATTCGTATTTGGATATTGCATTCCACCAAACACATAAATCTTTCCTAATTCGTCATGTACAGATTGTGCTCCAACAATTCTTTGAATATAATCTTGTCGTAGTAATTTAGATTCGTTTATTAAATCAACTTCATTTCTATTATTATCAATTACGATAAATTCAGGTATTGACCATTGTTCAGTTTTCAGGTCATAAGCATATATTACGGAATCATTTACGTCTTCATAAGTATAAAAGTCTTTCATGATTCCTCCAATTAAGTAGAAGGTTGAAAAAAAATTTCCTCCAAGTGAACCTGTTGACCAACTCGATTTCACCGGTATTCCCGACTTATTAGTTAAATCTACAAATGGAAGTCCTTCCTCCGAATCTAAATCAAATTCAACCGAAAGGTCCAGGTAAAATAAATCGTTTGTTGACTTTGCTGTATTATCAATTGGATCAATTATAAATCCACCAAAAAAATATAATCTATCATCATGCATGGCTATTGAATGTCCAAAATGAGCAATTGGCGTAAATAAGATCACACTTTCGATTAAAGAAAGGAAAACAACCGAAAACAGTGTACGATTTAATTTCATTATAAATAAATAGGCAATGAAAATTTAATTCGTTGAGGAAAATCGTGGAAATAAACCGTAAAATTTACTTGAATTAAATCTTTTCGATATTTATTTATTAAAATGATTTTCCTTTTTTTTTTTATATCACACAAATCGATTAAAGATCTGGTTTAAAATCCAGTTTGTCTCAATTTACATTGGTTCAACCGAATAAACAAACATTACCACAAATTTCCTAAAATCTATTGAGGAAAAACCTTTTTTTTTAAAAAAAAAACACCACCTCATTCTTTGTTCTCGATGCAAGTTTTAATCATGTGAGATGATGAATTTTAAGATGAACTTTTTCCAAACTTTTAATGGCGCAGCAATTAACAAAAGTTAAAATAAATAATCTTTATTTTTTTTCCATTCGGTAATTGCACAGATGCACACAGATGTTTCCTTGAATAATTAATACCATATTTCGTACTTACCTCACATGTCTAGTGTTTTGTGCAATCATTTTATATTTCGAACATTTCATAGTAACATTTGATTTGATTTGTGCGACAATTAAATCAATAGTACGATCAGGAATAAAAAAATTTGATTTGAATCATTGAGCGCACAAAATCAGTTTCTGTCAAATTAGTTCAAATATCATGTCATTAATAATTAATGTACTTGACGCATTATGTATAAATAGTTTATTAGCCGACTTTTTCTCTAAAATTTCTTTATCAAATCAAGTTCGGATCACATGATTTTCTAAGTCTCGTAACTTTATTTAAAGGAAATCGACCCATATGTTCTTGTTATATATTAATCAATTAAGTCAACCCGATTGAGTTTGTCTTGATTCTAATAATTTGATATACTGAACGTTGAAAATAATTAAACATAACATATTAAACCCGTATAGTGGCATTGCGTATTCCTTGATCACAGAAAAGAAATGTAAATTGGTTGATTTTTTTGCGTTTCTTGCTTTGAAGAAGTCATTTAATAAATTGAAGTTTTTACAAGTACTAGGCGCTTGGAGGTAATAGTATCATTTGCATATTTATCTGTGCAACTTTATTTATTTTATTTATGTTAAGCTTTGATGTTAATAATTTCAGATAGATATTAATACTTTTTTTAGCAACAATATTATAATTTCTCGTAATTAGATTTAATAGATCTCAATCATAATGCGCGTCATCATGGTGATATTAGATATACTAATTTTACTAAGTCCGAGAAAATATAACGTAAATTTCGTCTTTTTCGATTCACGTCTCTGAAGAAATCTGTGGAATAATAAAAAAGGATATATACATCAAATAATAGAGCTTTCATGTCATAAATCTATTGGAACTGTTTATTGAACTTATACGTTAGCAAAAAAAGCCCAATGTAACCTTCAGTTTCGCATAATTCTTTAAAATAAAAGAAATGTCGTCTTATTTTTTCAATTAATCGATTTCTTACCTTAATAAAGATATTAATAATACATATAAAAAATGTTTCACCTTATATAAATTCATGCTTAGTACATTAAAATTGAATATACATGTCCATTTCCCAATAAAAAAAAAATGTATATTTTATATTACTTACTCCTTAAAGAAAATATACATCCAAATTCTGTTGAACCGGCCAGTAAATGTAAAGAAAAACATGACTACTGTCAAACCTATATGTAACGATATTATATATATCGATAATTGCATGTTTCGATAAATTTTTTATGTACCATTTTATTATTAATTAAAAAACCTTTATATATCGATATTACATATGATTTCACAAT